ACTAAATACGATCACATAATTACCAAATTTGGTTCAAAGAAGCGCATTCATTGAAAAATCAACTAGGTAAATTATCTTAACTCTTTAGCCATTGATACAATATTATTGAATGTTGAATTTAGGTATAAAATGAAAAAAGCAGTTTTCAACAAAACATATCTTGTTTTTTTCAATTAAAAATAATAAAAACATAAATATTTATACGACCGTTCTCTATAGATACATGATACAATTTTCAAAATATTTTTATTTACCTTTATAAGGGATGAAAATTTTTCTTTATTTTCAATTAGTCAATGAATAATTTCTGCTCAGCCAGAAAACTAGAAAACTACAATTCAAGGAACCTTATTATGCACTTAACAATATTAAAGGTACATTAGCACAATTTATTTTATAAACATTTATAAATTTTTTTAACAATTTCAAATTTTAACATTATTAATCTGTCTCAATAATATATTATCATAATAGTATGTTTTATGTTTTTATTGTTGGATAGCTACATTCTTTTGTCTATATTACTTTAATATTAGAGTCTAATACCTATGTACTAACATTTCAATATATTTCTTTTTTTGTATGTTATTTAATATATAWATATGCTTTTACCAAATTTATTTATTGCACTTCGGCACAGATAAATAATATTCAATTTAAAAAAAGTAATTGATTTACAACTTAGTTAAAAAATTAGTAATTTACTCATCCTTTAGATATGCCTTCCAAAAATATTTTCTAAATTTACCACTAATAATAAAGTTAGTAACACAGTCATTACTATAATCACAACATATTTATGACCCCATTACCTCAGAATTATATTATGATAATATAATAAATATTACCAGTATTTTAATTAGATATTCAATTTTCGATATTTAGGTTAAATTAATGATATTTAAGAGGTTATTGAATATAATTTTGAAAGTAAATAAAWATAGATACAAAATCTATAAGTATTTACAAGTTAAGAAAATGAAATATGTCACAAAAATTTTGTGTTGGATTGGACTTATTTCCAGGACCAGCATTACAAGTATTGAAAAATAAAGAATAAGGAAAATGTTATTTGTCACATGCTACAATAACTGAGATAGTCAATAATATCCTAGTATAAATAAATGCATAAGCTAATAACATATTGTGTAGAAACTAGAATGTATATATTTAGCGCGATCCTTTATTAGTAGGTCAAATTTAACTTAGATGATTAAGTTTATTATAAAACTCTACTGAATTTACATCAATATTATTTATCTCCAAAAGTGCTACAAGCAGATCTCTATAATATACTATTTTCTATTTAGACTTCAAAAAATTTTTTTTCATTTCTTTTAGAGGTAGGGTAAATATTAWCAATTTCTAGTAATTATTGAACAAATTCTTATTTATCAATCAGTAATAAACATTGTGCTRTTATCTATGTTTTCAGATTTATGAAATTCTGCGTATCAACTGTAATTATTACTAAGTACTATTTGTATTATCCCTGATGTATAATAATTTTTATAATAGTTAATTATTGTAAAATCAAACTAAATTTGATTTTAAAAATTAAATTGTATGCTAAGAATTAAATTATATATAATTAATAAACAGGAAATACAAAAATAGGTAGATAAATGTAGGATATAAAATGTGTAAATAGGTTTATGAAATATAAAGGATACTCAAGTGCCTCTTATACTAATAATATTATACATATTATTATCTTTTATTCTCAATCAAATGTTACAAAAATTAACATATAAATAATATAGCCTATACATACAGTTAACCACGACATAAATATTATGGATGACAATCTTTCATTGTTGTTGTGGTGATGTTAAAAGTGATGTTCATTTTTTTAAAGTTAAATGTAAAATAAAACAAAATTAATTTTAATTAAAATACTAAAAAATGACAAATATAAATTAATGATAGTAATTATAATTATAATAATAATAATAATAATAGAAAAAAATATATTGTATTATCATTTTTTTGAGTTTCAATAAGAAAAGAATACAAATTATGGCATCATAACATATACATTTATACCTAACAAATAGTTTACTAAAATCTTAATACATAAATATGATATATACACATTTATTAATGTATGCATGTGTATATATTTATATCAGTATATGTATATTTTAGCATGTTTATTATTACAAGTCTAATTTTACAAAAAAAAAAAAAAAATCAATAATAATGTAATAACAATAATGGGAAATTTTTATATAGGTATAAATTATGTAGATTAAAATAATGATACAGAACATCTCCAGTCATTTTTCTTATAAATTAAAAGTTATTATAATCTACATCATAATACCAAACATTTTTACTTCCAAAGTCTCAAAAATATTAATTCTATAAAAAAAAAAACATTCAATTATTTTAGAAGGAAAAATGTCTGGTTTTATTAAAACTATATTAATTAAAATAATATAAGTTTCTTTAAAGAATTAATAATATAATACAAGAACTAAAAATAAATTTCACAGTTAAAATTATTTTAAATATATCCAAGGGTGGAAAGTAATAATACATACTATATAACACTGCACTCAGTAAAAGTCTGTACAATTTGGATTAGAAGGTATTGGATGAAATCTCATTGATATGAAGTGGTGCAATATAAGTTAAATTTAATTTAACATTATTGATTGCAACAGTTATGACAATAAATGTATTTAAAATTCCATAAAAAATTGCCTGACTCCGCAAGGTTATATTTGGTATTATTATTGGTTTTAAAATATTGTACTAAATACAATAGTTAACCAAATAGCATTGCACCATGGCCTATCTATTTTAAAATCAATAATAATACACTTGAAGCTAAAGATTAAGTATAAATGTACTTATATATATTTTGACTAATTATTTTACTTAAAGTGCAGCATTATATTTTGTACAACATGTACGAATAAAACATGTCTTACATGGACCTTATTTTTGTGGGATTTATATAATACAATAATTAGAATATTTTTGTTAAGTACATATATTTATATTTTACCACAGCAGTATGCATGGGACAGAATCAATTATAGTACATGATATACTAGTATGTAATTGATATTCAATATATTTTTATTTAATTATTATTTAAATGTTGATGTAAATACATTTTCATACTTTYATACTTGTTGAAATTTTTTATTATAAATAAACATTCATAACACATATAAAAATTGTATTTTCAACATAAATACACAACTTATAACAATTATGAGGTATATGATTCATAGATACAGACAATAGGTATATTGATAGTCTAGGGTTATCAGAATGGATGATATATTAGACTAGCATCTGAAAAGTATAAATTTTGACATGCCATGGAAGAGTGTGACTCCAGAGAATGTAGAGAATAAAAACTCGGTAATTAAAAATTTTTGTGAAAATTAAATCATTCTAAATTACAAATAGATTAGGATAAATTTTTGAGCCATAGGTTAAAATCGTTAAATGAACGGGTCATGATTATAGTAATTACCATACATTTAGTTGTAAGAAAACTATATGATATTTATCTTTTATCTGTAACTAAAACCATGAAAAATAAACTATTAATGGTATTAAATAATTATAAGCGGTCAAAGTAGAGAAAGGTGAGAGGAACTTATCTTAAAATTTCTTATCTTCCTTTAAATTCATGATTTATCTGCTTAAGAAAGTCACCATTAATTGAAAATGTATTATCGCCTAATCTTATATAAATGGTATATAACTAATTCTTCTTGTGAAAACTTGTTTGGTTTTTGTGAGATTGAGTGCTAATAATGGTAAATCTATGTTATTATGTATCCATAGGATATTTTAAATGGGTTACATTTTTTCATTGAATAATGATCTAATTATTTCAATCAACTTTGACCATTAATAATTATTCATACCATATTATGTTTGTTTACACTCATAATATATTAAATATGATTGAATAATTAACTGTTAATTGAGTTTGATAAATAATTGATATTTTAATATTTTCATTATATAGGTACCATTATTGTTATATTCTGAAAAATAATTAAAATTGCAGCAAGTAACGAATGAATAATCTAAAGGTATATTTTAGTACTTAAAAAAAAATTATATAAAGTTAAGTTTTTTTAAATGTAAAAATTAAAATAATCTAAAATWAAAATTAAAATTAAAAAATTATTTCTATGGAGATTTTTCTTATTAGGAAACTGTTTTTACAATAAATTTACAAAATATATTTGTAGAGATATATGTTTCAAAATGTAATAATACTTTTGATTGTAAAATTAATACTGGCGCAAACGTAATGAAATTAATTGTTTTTCTCTAAGAAATGCAAATTGATATATATTTAAAAAAACATAATCTGTCAAAAAAAGATATTTTATAAACAATGATAAGGAAAAAAATTAAAGCTTCACCACATACGTTTTTCTTCTAATATACTAACAAAAATTAATTTGGTATTTATCACATGAATAAAAATCATGAATTTTTAAAAAAAATTTTAATAAATACATAATTTAATAAATGTATAAATCAACTTTCAATAAATCATACATAATCATACTAATAGAAATGACAGAATGAGTCTTAAGACAAGAAGTAAATATTTTAAGATTAATTTTAAAATGCTACTAACTATATAAGAATATATTTATTTTGTAACCCTCAAACTTAAGAAGTAACCGGTAACTTGAATATTATTTTATAAAAATCATTAGCACAACTTGTTAAGGTGATTTTTCAATGTTCAACATTGTGTAATACTCACTACTTATGTTGTTTTTTTAAGATAATGTTCAGCTAATATAATATATTATACAAGCAATATAGTTTACTTTGGAAAGTCAAGAATTAAAATGTTTTAGATTTATAAATTATTTATGTTAAATGTGGGGACCCCTCCCTTCCGCATTACTATTTCTAACCATGTTTTTTTTTATCTTAGCCAAACACACATGGTTAAAATATAATTTATTTATATAATATATACATAAACAAGTCATTATTTTTAAGCAGATAAGAGCAATTAATTTTTATAAAAATAATATTTATATATATAATTATTTTGTAAAGAATATTTTAGGAATGTAAAAAGGTTTTAATCTAGAAGAGCTTAATATGTTAACTTTTTTGAATAAGTTGCGCCAATGATAACAATAATAAAAATCAATAATTAAATGTAATTCTATTTTTCATAAAAGATAATAGTTGCAAAAGAAAATTGGGAACTTGTTTGAGTTCGAATTTGTACTTACTGCAATTATTTGTTGGCATGATTGTGATTTATTTACYGATTTAAAATTAACAAATCTTGTATTGGAAAAAGGCTTAGGAAATTTGAGACATTTCAGTGTATAAATTAAGTATGGATTTTAGACTGAATTCAGGATAAAAATGAAAATTTATGTGCGRTAATATATGTATACTTTTTTTTATCAAGAGCAAAAATATCTGAATATTGTACATATTTTATACTCTGATAAAAACTGAATTCAGTCTTACATTTAAAGTATATAATCTAAATGTCTATTTAAAACTTCGGGCTTAGCTTGTATTATTTACAAAGGGCGAAAAAATCATTTATGTTGCAAGTATATAAAAAAAAAACAATGTCATATGAATAAAAAATATCACTAATATATTATACTTGGCAATATTTCAATGGAGATTTATTTAATGTAAAGGCATCATCTCCAAATTACTTAGGAGCAACATTTTTGAATTGAAATTTCACTCCATTGCTACTGGGGTCCATTATGAGGCAAGCCGGCTTGATTATTTGGCTATAAATTAATTATTTTGGATTAAATTTAAAACTGCTATTTATTTAATAAAAATAAACTAACCAAAGTCATGGGTGGAAAATGTGGTGCTTGGACAACCATATGTTGTGCTACCGATAAATGATGTCCCAATTTTGGTCCGACATTGTCTTCGGCTTTTTCTTCTTCCCTCCTCTTGAGACAAGCAGCTTTAGGATTAAGATTTCTCTCTGAAACAATTAATAAAATAACATTATAAAAAATTGATTTCTAAGCATTTACATTTCTAATAAAAATCAATAATTTACCTCGAACTTGTTGTTCCAATGACATGATGACTTCAACAGCCATGTTGAGGATACCCAGTTTAGTTTGAGGTTTATCGGTTTTTAGGTGTGTCATACACATCCTTCCAAGTTCTTTTAATGCTTCGTTAATGTCACGAATTCGAATTCTGAAGAAAAAAAAAACAACAAAAATATAAACTAAATTATCACTGTAATATCACATGAATTAATTTTAAAAAAAGACTTTAAAAATTACATATTAAACTAATTTTGATAGTTAAAATCTACAAATGACTAATTTATTCATATTAAAATACAGTACATCGAAGAACATTATTAATTATGTACAGCCTATAGTCTTTCTCGATAAATGGACAATACAAAAAAAAAAATTTTAAATTTGAATAAGTAGTTCCTGAGGTTAGCAAATTCAAACTTTTTTTTAACTATTCAGTTTTATAATATTAGTATGGATAAAAATTATAACTATTTTTGTAGATAAAGATTAAAAATAACGAAAAGGAAAATAATATTGTTTTTATAATGACTATTAAGAGATACATTTTGAACAAATCATTATAAAAAAAATCAAAACACTTGGTTTTTAACTAAATTAAATAGTGGAACTGGTTATGCATCTGTCAGGTGATCATAGCTGTGTACAAGGGGTATGGACTGAGTTCAAATGGTTTGATCACTGATTTATGTGAACAATATTTTATAGTTATTTAATTTCACTATTAAATGTAAATAACCATAAATAGTTATTAATAAATTTAAAATTAAACCATGATATTAACATAATATAAAAAAGGAGCCAAGAGCCGCACACTAAGTTGCAGGCAAAAAAGCTCACCTTTCTCGAGCGTTATTTGCTTGGCGGCGCTCCTTTTCTCGTTGAACTTTTAATTCAGGATCTTCACTCTCGTCGTCCACACTTGTACAACAGCAATACGAAACATTACAGTTAACATTAATTTCAAACTTATGTTAAAATTTAAAAGTTAATGATTTGTGTTTTAAGGTACTAAGAATTTTAATTTTAAAAATAATCTAATTGTGGAAAGTGTATACTTTCCAACACTATAAAAACATAGGTTGTTGTAAATGTAAACAATTGTGATGTTTAACATTTCATTTTCATTTTTAGTCAAAAACTATTTAATTATATTTTATATAATAAAATAATTTAAAACCTTACCTTTCACGGACATTGTTGGCCTGTCTGCGTTCTTTTTCTCTATGTGCTTTAGTTGATGGATCTTCATTATCTTCATCAGCACTAGAACAACTAAAATAACAGTCATAAAATAAGTCAATATCTTATTTAATAATCTTTATGAATCAAGCGCGTAGGCAAGGTCCAATAGAGGTGTGCCAGTATTTAATGTTAACTGAACACAAAAATTACAGTACAAATATATATTATTTCTACCATCATTTGAATCTGTACACAAAATATTTTATTATAATAATATAAATTAATGTGCCATATTGTTAGATGTGATATTTTTATTTATCAAGTTATTTAAGTTTTTTTTTTTTTTATCAGCTCTTAATGTATTTCTGTATATTAATATTTTTAAATTGTACTTAGCAACTAAAGTTAATGTTTTATGCAACAGTCTATATATTGTATTGTGTTCACACAATACTAATTTACTGTAATCTAACATCGTGATTATAACACAAAATTATACTTCGACATTACAACTATTAATGATACAAATATTTAACAATTTGGTAACAGTGAGTTTTCCAATCTAGTGAAATCACTTTCCATTAATTATTCATAAATGCTAAGTAATCTCTTTTACATGAGTAAATATCCAACAATGGTTGAAAAGAAAACTTAATCATCAACTCGTCTTATAGAAACGTCTTATAGAACACTAAATGTATATAATCAGTATATAACAATATAATATGGTGCGTTGCGGTGATTGTGTCTATTGAACCTTAGTCCAGTTTAAAACGAATATTTAGATAATTAAACGCTAGTAAAACCAATATTGTAATTGCACATTCTTACTCCTGAATAAAACTCATTTTTATATTGGCATTTAACTAAAACAATTCCCTTTAAAAGTATGTGAAAAAAGTTTAAAAATTAAATTGAAGGATATAATTTAGCAAAATATTAAGCTTATGGGTTCGGATGAAAAAAGGTTGGAAATCGCTTTGCTAGGTTTTATCAATAGAAAAACAAAAGTCAAAAAACACTAAATATATCATTAGTAAAATCTAAACTCAAATTCTGTTCACTAATTTGGTCTTATAATTCATCAAAATATATAAATTACGTTGATAATATCAAATATAAGTTTTTGAAAAGAATTGCTTATATTTGTAATATACATATTCCTTGAGATATTTTATTTTGTTGAAAACCTCTTGTACTCACTAAGTACAAGACATAAATTTGCAGATATTATGTTAGTTTATGATATTTTACATAACCTCATAGACTATCCTGAGTTATTATCTGAAATCAGTTTTCATAAATCATTAAAATATACAAAGAATTTAGTTAGGAACTAAGAAACTTATTTKTAATTCTTAATATTTTAATACAAATAGTGGAAATAATAGAAAACCCTTGTTTTGGCCAGTAAGATTTTCACAAATTAATATTATTTTGTACTTCCCTGCAAGAATTTTTTATTTAAGACTATAGTCTACTGTAATAAAATGGTTAATATTAATATAAATTGTTATAAAATAAAAGCATATAGCCTAGACTTGATAAATTATATACATTTGTCAATACCTCATTCTAAAAATTTGATTCATTCATCAGTTGAGGATTTAAGGAATAAAACTAAAAATTTTTTACACTGCTCACATAAGAATGTTTAGATTGGTTTTTAGTATACACATGGTTGTGTCGTGTTACTGCACTTTTTTTTATTTAGTAGCTACCATTGTTGGATAATTAAAATTCTATTTACATTAATCACGGATAACTAGCAAAATAGTATTGTGCAAATTTAATAAAACTAAATAATAAATTTATAAAAATTAATTTGCGAAATATTTAATATTTAGGAGGAAATTTACATATTTATTTTAGATGAATATTTGTTCGTTTGAGGCTCTGATAATMAAACACCTGAGACACCTCTACGAAACAAAATCTGAAGTTAAGTTAAGTTAATGTGACTTTAAGAACAAAAGGGGGAAAAGTTGCACATTAAACTTACTATCGACGGGGTCGTTTTGAATTGTTATTTATAGGCGAATTGTTTGGGGGTGAATTGGCATTAACGATGTTATTTACTAACAAGTGATCACTGCTAGTAGGCTTGGTATCTGAACTGTCTGGAGGTTCTTTCCGTTTTTCTACAGTAAAAAGAAAACAAGAATAAGATTAAATTATGTTTGAAAAATAAACAAAATAGGTATTAATAAAAATAAAATATTTTAACGAGTACATACTGATATTGCTTAGTCTTTCAATTTTGATTGGCCCATCGCTGTCTTGACATGTTGAAAGTGTTTGGTATGTATTTGGAACACCGCCAACTGTAGCAGTCGCCGAATGGGGACTTCCCTAAGAGCAAAACAATAAATTAAAAAATTAAGTAAAACTAATAAAAGCTTAAGAAAAAAAAAACTTAAAAATATTTTAACTTACTAAATGCTGATGATATAATGGTACAATGCCTGAAGCGGAATGTTGAACACCAGCTAAACTTAAAGCCTGACTTTCGGCATGATTTCGTAGAACATTTATGGCATCATCCAGTCTTTCTTCCATACGACTACCCTAAAATACAAACAAAAATTTTGAAATTGTGAAAACAAATGACAGAACAAAAATAATACAAGAATTTACACCAACCCTCATTCAAGCAATTAAAGTTAGTACTAATTGTAGCTATTATATTAAGAGTTAGAAATGTTAGAATATTACATACCAAATGAATAGTGCGATGGTCAGTAGGAAAATGAGGAGATCCAGGATGAGGTGGTACTACGCCAGGGGTCCAAGATCCGGCACTGTTTGCAGGCGCTAAAGGTGCCAAAGGTGGTGGTGAACTTACAGGTGTAGATGGATTTGAACTGTAACTGCTGACACTCTGGTCAGTGGGATATATCTACAACACATAGTTGTATCTTAAGAAATCACTTTTTTTTATTTAACAAATTAATTTTGAAATAATTCATAACCACTGACGTAGKTCCAGAATACTGTATTGTACCACAGAAGAGGGGTGTATAAAATGTCAAGGATAGGATTCAGGTATTTCTCACACCAAAGACAAAACAAAGTCCCTACTAAACCTAACAATTAAAAGAAATGGATAGTGAATCAATATGATTTATGTTAGTGTTATTTGTTAATAAAAGCAACAAAAAGCCTTCAATGGTAACTATTTAAGCATATTTTATTAATATCCCAGCGTATAATATAAAATATATTACACAGTTTATAAATGTAGGTTAATTAATAATTATGTATATTAAAATAAAGCAAATAAGTAAATAAATTTATCGTACTGATGCTAAAGTTTTGCCAAGTGTATCCCCGGGAGATTGAATAGTGGGACTGTTATGTCCTGGGTACATCATTGAGCTAGGGGTAACTGCAATTGGACTTGGAGCAGAAGGAGGAGCTCCACGCAAACTTGACATAGGTGGTAGAGGGGAAGTGCCTAGGCCATCTGTAGCAGGTGAAACACCACTAGGAGGTATATTAGCATTTGGACCAATAGTATTATAGCCCTGTGAAAAATAAACATTTATTATCACCAAACTCATKACTCAGATGTATAAAAGGAATGAAAAAATAAAATAGAAAATTTTAACAATTAAAGAAAATATAAAACATAGGTAGCTCATTAACATTATAAAATACAAAAAAATATTGAACTGCTGTTTGAACAGAATATTTATTTGAAATTTATAAGATATTGTGATAAATAATAAAATTAAAATATTATTTAGTTACTCATATTAATAAGTTCAAGTAAATTAAATATGATTATAAGTTCTTAAGAATTATAAGTATATTTAAATAGAAGATAGCAATGTTTTAACTTTTTAAAATAAAATTTTTATTTTAGCCTAAAAGTAAAAAAATATTATTCGATAAAAAAGATTAATATATTTTTAATGAATCCTATCAAAAATACCAATATTAAAGTTAAAAAGGAATTAAATTAAATTGTATGTAATTTTATGTGAAAGCAATGGAATAGAATAAAAATATTGAGGTAATATTAAGTATTTCTTTAGATTATGTATCATTACAAATAAATGCATATTTGTCACATATTATATTATGTGACAACTAAAAATATTTGATAAAATTAAAAAATACAAAAATATTAATGTTTTATTTAAAAACTTAAATAATATCTCATATTTAAATAACATAGTATAATATTATAATTTTGTAAATAAAATGTTGGAAAAGGAGAAAGTCCTTTTGATGGATATAAAGTGTTCAGGTTTATTTTTAATAAATATAGTTTAGTATACAAAAATTGTTTACGATACAATCGTAAAATTTAATTTAGAATTAAGAATCGCATATAAATAGTATAAATGCCAGTTTGAAATTACAACAATTCCATTAGAATTCAAAAACCAACTATTATACTATATATTATTTTAGTCATGCATTATTATAAACTAAATTGTCTTTTTTGTTGTTTCATAATGCTAAATATTTTTAAAACCTTGTGCTATGCTAATGCTAATTTTAAGTTGGTATTTAAATATTGAAATCAGCATAATATATGTTTGTGTAGTATATAGTATATACTATACTATATACACAAAAATAAAATATTATAGGTAATCTTAAGAACTGAAATATGAAGTTGATAAATAAATGTAAACATTTTAAAGTACAAATGAAATAATATTTTTTTATAAGAATATAGTTCAATAATTTTCAAAATAAAAAAATGCTACCTATTTACAAATTATTAATGCTTTTTTAAGGTTTTTATTAAATTATGTAATCATCTATAATAATATTAAATTTAATGTTTTAATTAAGTTYTACCAAGTATTTAATTATTATCATTGTGAATTGTTATCAATATAAAATTGTACAAAAATTAAATAATGCATAAAAAAATTATATGATTATATGTATTTATGTATTTACCGTAAAATATTAAATATTAGGAAATAATAAAATAATTTATGTCCCTATAGGTTTTTGGTTTATAAAATGTGAATAAATTTGATATTTTACTAAAAACTAGAATACATTTAATCAATTTAACCAAGCAAACTCATCGAAAAATGTGTAAATTTAAAATCAATATTCATAATGCTTAAATATTAACTATTATTCAATTTATCTTTATCAAAGATGAATTCACTGAAAATTCAAATTTAGTCAAAACAAAAGTTAAAAATTTAAAATGATCCTACAACATAAAACAATGTTTTAAAATAAGAATGGCTACATACCATTAGATCTGAATATTGTACCTGAACGTTGTATGCATGTTGATTTTTTATGTATTAATACTATGTTACCATTGAAGGGGGGAATTTGTTTGAACAGTATAGTTTGCAGCAATATACACATTAATAAAGCTCAAATTACCTCCCATTAAATTAGAATTATTCCAAATTTAATGTTTTAATGTTAGCTTCAGCCCTTATAAGTGGTTAAAAAAAATGATTTATTCTCACCAAATTTTCTGGTGTTAACATAGTATTTGTTGGCGGAAAATTGTTTGGTGTCATGTTTGGAGACGTGGTCAGCAACGAATTAGGTGGGTTGGTATAAGCTGTATAAGTTGTAGGAGACTGAAGTTGAGCAGTAGCACTTGTTGTCCAAACATCGCTATTATTTCCTGTGCCATCTAAAGATCATTGATAAATAAATTATCACACAATGAAATAAAAAATTTTTCACTAATATAAAGTCATCAATATAAATATAAATTACACCAATTACCCAAATAATAAGAATCAGCATTGTACACAGATGAACCAGGTTTTTGAGCAGCAAATCTAGCTGGGTCTGGTGTAAATTCATCACCACCATACTGAAACATATAAATTCAAGATTTAGTAAGAATTAATTATGATTACTATGATAAATCCATACAATTAATAATATTTTATTGGAAAAATTGTTAATACAGAACTATAGATTATTTTGACGAAAAATATTTAGAGTTAAATAAGGATAACGTATATATTATAAGGAAGATTTTTAAACTGACCATAAAAATAATATGTTTGCTAAGGTCAAGACAAATCGATCTGGTTGCCGACAAAAGGAAATATATATCGAATGATGTATATTTTATATTATTCTGTACAATACATTAATACAATAATACCAATAATGTAAATTAGAAATTTATTCCTAACACTATGTACACTATGGTCACTTACGGTCGGACGGAGGCCAATGGCCATATAAAAATATGATTCAATTTTCAAGGCTGTGGTATTAAAGTATCATATACTACCTGCTCAATTATATAAATCGACTTCTAGAACTTCTAATAGGCTGATCAAGAAAAATATAGGCATAACAAACATTATATGGTACACACGAGAAAACGAACGAATACCGAACACAACCTTGAAAAATACACAAGGCTGAAATCCAAAAGCGTCGGCAGTAAGTCACCATAAAACGAATGTGCGGTTTCGGAAACAATAAATTATTATTACATAATGTTGATAAAAGCGCAAACATCGGGGTAAGAAGCTCAAGCGATTCTCGATTAACCGGCAGGATTAGCCGTAAAAAAACCTGCATAGTTGGCATGCATTTATTGTGTCGGATGGAAAAACGCATAATGTTTTGGAAAAAAACAATTTTGCTCAGCTTAATATGAATTTTCCAATTATTATTATTTATTATATTAGAAATGCGATTAGAAAACTACGTTTTACTACACAACCATTATCGCGTTGCTGCGAAAAAAATAAAATCCCTGGCAGCCCGATTTTCTATATACATATCGCATACACGTAATAATACCTAAAGAAAAAAAATACTGCTTGCGTAAAACGAATACTATGCAGTATGCGGCGATATTTATACAATATTTATATTCACGGTGATATACGGATAAACTTTTAATGAGACTTGTCTCGCGCGTACATACATGGCCCACACGGCGAGGGGTACGTTTTCCTCCCCATCACAGCACCACTCAACCATCCAGTACACATAAATTTGTTTCACTGAAGTGAAACTACAGCGAAACCGTAATAGGTACAAGACGCGTTAAGTACGTACCCACACTCAGTCGCAACTCGAAAACATTATCATTATCGGCATTTCATCGTATGACTATAGGATTTTTCTTAACAGAGAAAACATAATATATTTATATAATATATGATATACGAACGAAATAACTATTTAATCACGTTAAAAGTTTTGTTTTTTAATTGCATTTTGATGAGGACACGAAATCGTTCTTTAAAAAAACCCCGACAAAACCACGTGACTACCCTTTAGAATTGTGACCCCAGGACTCTCGCTATCTCCAGAACAATTATGCCGTTGTACGAGTTAMAAATAATAATATTGTGTCCTTTCGTGTTCGTCGTTCAAAACTTTAGTATAAACGAATCCATAGTGGATATGAAATATAAATCGACACAAGCAAATACGTTTTTCCAGTGACATAGCTAGTGGGAGAAGGAAATAAGGGAACATTCTACAACTCTTGTATCAGTTTGGGCCGAAGTAGTATATAGAATTAGACCAAATAATATTAATGTAATATAATAAAAGAATCTATAGTGATTAATTTGTATTCATAAAAGGTTTATTTAATGTATTAACCTAGCAATGCTAACCATATACAATTGATTGCAGATAGGTATGTATTATGTATAATACAAATATAAAATATTATAGATTCTATCGCCCACATGTAATATAAGAATGTACATATGTAATTCTTTATCCATGATAGCACCAGTGTTAGATAAGAAAACTGTGTATTATACTTTTTAAATTTCATATAGTGATATACTGAGAGTACTCAGTACGTGGTCAGGGTGTTACGCAGAATATACAATTTTACATAACAGAATATTTTGGGCGATTGTAAACTCCGCCAGAATACCGGTCAAGATGAAAAGGTAATAATAGGTCTATGGTAAACTCCGCCAGTTTTTATTTCTTACTTGTAATGGGTATATGTAAACTCTGTCAGATTTTTTTTACCTGGTCAGAGCTCACATTGCCACGTGCCTTCTCACATTGTCAAAATTAGATCGATTCATTAATAATTTTATCTTCATATTATCTGAAATCAGGATTTTTAATGATGATACGGGCAGTAGGTAAGGAATACGTAATTCCATATAGGTACTTTGACGTATACTTTTTAACTATGATTAGTATGATTTAAATATTTAATGTGAACGATATATTATATTATAATTTTTTTTTTTGATAATATATCATATGATTTTTTTACTATGATTTAAATATTTAATGTGAACGATATGATATTATATTATATTATAATTTTTTTTTTAATAACATCATAATATAATATATTGATTTTATACTAGTATTTTATACTACTATTTGATTTTCCTTTTCTTTATTTGATTCTTCACAGGCGGAGTTTACATGAACTCAATTTTACCTGATTTTTTCAGTGGCGGAGTTTACATGAACCCAATTTTACCTATTTTTTTTTCTGGCGGAGTTTACAGTAAAAAAAGGTACTTGTGGCGGAGTTTACATGCGCCCGAATATTTTTACTGTGGATTACACGACTACCTAAATTTAATATAAAATCTCAATGAYCTATAGGACTATAGCAAAGAGCTTTATTACCTATAACCTTTTACACTTTAGTTTTTTTGCAATCGTCATATATAAGTGATAAATAATGATAATAAATGATATTATATAATAATTGATAATAAATTATCCATGTTTRACAGTTAAGTACCTATACTAGAGGTGTGTTCTCATTTTTTATAAAATATTATTTTTCCTCAAGTGCATTAAAAAAAAAAAAAAATGCATGTCTATGAAAACAAGGTAAGGATCATAAAGTAGGTGTACTAATATTCAATAAGTAATAAGCATTATATGGTGTATTAAGAGGATGCCTCACCCGCATGTGTTGTCTTCGTCGTACAAGTGCGTAGYATACCAAATTTTACGCTCAGCAGATCACGATTATCTCCGTTAATTTAAAATTTAGAGTGAATTGACCTATTATAAAAATTAAAGGCAAGATTATTACCGAGGGTATCTCATAGGCTTTTTATAATATTTTAATTTTAAAGCGAGTTATGAGTATTTTAAAATTGTAAATTATTTTTGTATCTAAAAAAACCTTGCCTTTAATTTTTATAACAGGTCAAATCACTCTGAATTTTAAATTAACGGAGATAAACGTGACCTGCTGAGCGTAAAATTTGCTATGCTATGCACTTGTACGACCGCAACGGATACAACACATGCTGGTGTGGCGTCCTCTTAAAACCAAATGCAGTGCCCCTTCCCAAAATTTTTTTTTCTTGCTATAACACTGCAGTCTTGTAATATAATTTGGACAATTTTTTTTACGATAGGAATTTCTATTTTTTTATAGCTTAATATACAAATTATAATCATTAATATTGGTTCTCGTGGGTGTGATTATCCGTTCCTACTTTGTTCAGTACCTACGTACTTAAAGAGTGAAGCCACGAATGCGTTCAAATTGTTAAATTGTTTGTAACTTTAGTACACGCGAGTTTGGCTGACACAAAGAAAAAGTACTACAGTACAATTTTTTATCTTCAAATTATAGTGGCTAACTCATGAATTAATCTAACTGGATTAAATCGTCCAGTTTAAATTGCTGGAAATCACAGTGTGCGACAACATTTTGTATCAGTATTATAAACACTTAAAATGTTACTTATATGCTACTATTGACATTATAACAATATTCTACTCTACAAATAATTATTATACATCCATACATCCTATTATACTTTAACTTAACACTCGCAATTTAAATTAGAAGTTAGTGAAAAACAATTTTTCCACGTGATGACATTCATTCGAGACCAATACAAATATACAATTATTTGGTCCTTCTAAAGGTATAAATTCGAAATGCATGAGTATACATACAAATTTAAATTTTGAAAACTCTTGCGTAAATTTTACAGCTGATGTATTATTATATTATATCCTACAATATAGGACCTATATCAATGCGTTTACTATATAGCACCATTGCGGAACTGTTACACAGTTTATACGAAATAAAAAATGCGTCGCATATAATATAATATTATATATTATAGAATATAGCTAAACCTAATTTACGCGAAACAAATAAATGTAAATCATGTGACATGTGAGCTTTGGCCTTATGRCTATATCTATAATACGCTGTTTGTCTTTATTCCCTCTTGTCCGATCCAAGTATCCAAAATTGCGTTCAAACCTCGTATAAAAAGTCTGGAAATTTTATAATTTTGTTGCAATGACGTTTAAATAGAGTTCAGGAAGATTAAAAGCTTAATGGGTAGTCGTAAATCTTCCAGGTAAAAAAACATTACACTTTTATTTGTAAATGGACTTGCACACATACAATAATATAATAATAATAAAACTTTAAATGAATTCAATAAATACACTGGCCTATCGCTATAAAATTAACAAACAAATGCTGACAATAGCATTGCAACTTAGATAAGGACGATATAATTTATTTGCGAGGGTAATAAATTTGTCTTGGTATATTCACATTTGGATAATAATTATTTGTATTGTTGTATTAAATGAAACGAAACATTTAGTATTGACATGTTGACGTATTGTAATAACAAAATAGAATAACATATCAGATATTCGAAAAATATATTTTATAAATAAAATAATTGAAAACATCTATTGTTAGGAAAAAACAAATAGTTTTAATATTTATATTTTACATAAATTTAAAATATTAAATTAATGGCCTACGTAAATTAGTATCGCTAAAAACTAAAAACTAAATAATTCACTAAATATTAGAAAATAAAATAATATGGAAATGGTAGCACG